CGGCATAGAATACATCATCGCGAAAAGCGACACTTAATGAATTCGTAAACTCCGATGTCAGACACGGACTGCAGCAATGTCACTACTATGTTCTCAATACCTGCTATGTTTAACACTTTTTGGATTTTTTTTGTGTATTATGAATTTATGATTAATCATTTTTTCGTGGAAATAGTCGCATTTCGGCTTATTTGAAATAGAAAAATCCATGTCCGTCGAATAAGTCACGCAGTCTATTCATACGAAAAAAGAAAAAGCAATGAAAAACGTAATTCAAAAATTTCTAAAAGTAATCTAATTAGCCGTGATTCGAAAAAAATAGTCGTGAGTCGTGAAATCGCCAAATTTCTAGCCGTGAGTCGTGATGCGTACCACCCCATTGAGAACCTCCAAAARGTCTATGAGCTGCTGTGCTTACGAAATTGATTGGTATTATCCTCAGCATTTTCTTCAGGCAAAAAAATGTTGATCATAATTTCGGAATATATTCATTGATGGTCCTTCCCCCGTGTAAAATAACAATAATTGTTATTAAATTTATGGTTTTCTTTATTAACATATACCACTCCCCTCAGGGCCCCTGTTAGATTGTAAGGCCATCATACACACGGGGACAMACGAGGTTATAGTTCCCCGACGCTGTTTTCTGTTTACAATCACATTTATGAGTTTACAACAATAATAAAACAAATACCTAGAAGAAAAACAAACACGTCTAAAACGAAGTATATTTTAGCAAAAAAAAAAAAAAAAAAAAAAAAAAAAATAGAGAGAGAGAGAGAGAGAAGGGAAAAAAAAAGAAGTGCTTAGAAGTGCTCGAGTCGAGAATCGAACCCCACGATCCTCTGTTCGACGCTGTTATTCGAGTATGATCTTGTGACTAAAATTAAAAAAATACGGCTCGAAGATATCTATAAAGAAATATCTACAATAAAAAATTAACATGATGAGAACAACTATATATCAGTTAGAATAAAAAAGGAAAGAAATAAAAAAAGATTTTTTTTAGGCGTGCTCGGGTCGAGATTCGAACCTGGGACCCTAAGTTCTCTAAACTACGACGTGGATAAAAAATTACTAAAAAAAAAAATAAAGTTGCCTTCGGCCTGGACAMATATCTTCGTGAATGATTGGGGTACTTTCCTGCCATTAATTGTACATTACCTTCCACTCTTCAAAAGAGTAAGAGATAGGATTTTTAAGCCCTCCACCAAGATCCTTAGGGAATGTAAAGCTATCATCTCCTACGACTGCAGTCGACAACCACCCACCAAGCGAACACTCCTTGATGGAGCCCACCGTCGAGGCACAGAAACGAAAAAAGTTATCGCATTGAGATATACACCAGTTAATGTTGTCACAACAACCGCCATTATAAAGTGTGTGCTTCGGGTTGTTAAAGTCCACAAGCAAGATTGTGAATTTACCTGATGCTATGATTTTAACCTATAAAGAATAAATATACTTAAGTTAAAGTAAGGAAGTTATACTATTTTTGTTTGTGATTCCAAATTTTGGAGAAGTATAGATAACCACGCAAAACTGCGTAAAACTGTTGCTTTTCTGTGTAACAGTAAGGGAAGGGTCTTAATCATTGGAAGGAAGAAGAGGGCCGTAAATGGCCCGTTAGATGTCCCCCCCCGCCATCGTGGACCGTCGCGTTCCGAAAATTACTCTGAACATCTCTTATTACATGGGCTTCCTGTGAAAGACCATGTCTTAAAATGAGCTTTCGTGGTGTGTAGTCTGCTTCAAATTGGCATTGAGGAAGGCCCGGAGAATAGTGACTTCGTTGACGACGGTGTTTCCATGGGGATGTCAAAATAAACCAATTCTGTCCCTCGTGATTCGTCCAGTACGAGAGGATTATAGATGAGTTTAGTTCGTGACTCAAGTAGGCAAASGAAGGAGTATTTACAAAGAAAATGAAGCAATTCAAGCCTATAACGATGGATAAACAATAATTTYGTCTTGTAATCTCATTGTCTTGTCAGCTTAGTGACTGTGCAATAATTACCAGGAGGGAGGGGGGCGTAAAAACAGAGGGGGGGGGCATAACATAAAATTGATGGCAAGATAGGGGGCTCAAAGTAAAATTACCTAATTAGCAGATGGGGGGCCTTAAGTTTTATTCAAAATTTTCGTAATTTTCGATGTCTCTCAAAATGCTGGAAATCGCATTTCCAAGAGTTATTTCTTTCAAATTTTGAAAAAAATTTCACAATTTTCTGGGGGAGGACCAGACTCCCTTAATACTCCCTTTGGCGTTCGTTAGACCCCCAGATCCAAAATATATGTCGCGGTCCCTGACATGTGCATAAAATTAGGTCCACGCTACGCGCCTGACTAACGGAAATCTAAATTCAAAGACTCGTTGATGTGTGATTGAAATTGACCAAGATATGATTTTTTTTTGGACTATTGATTTTTCAATTTTGTCACATAATTTTCACATAAATTGAAGATGTAGAAGCTGAAAAATATATTGATGGTTTATTAGACATAACAAGCACAAGTAATATCAAAGTCGTTTTTGACCATAAAAACGTTACATAAGCCTATTTTGGACCTTGAAAACCTTTGCCAGGAACAAAATTATTTGAAAGAAGCAAGGGCACCACATTTGCTTGCCAGCTCCTCCTGAAAGTTTTTGTCTTCACACCTAGATCCAAATGAGTACGCCACCTCTTGCATCTGGGTTCGTCTTTAGTAAATTTTGGGTTGCTACAGTTGACTCGACTCGCTTGTGCCTGTTTTATAACTAGGGTTAATAGTTGGGGTGGGGGGTGGGGGGGTGGTTCTAACTAATTTTCTGCTTAAGAAATCTGGTTTTACGGCCCCTCCTGGTAATTATTGCACAGTCCCTAATGGATAGAATTTGAAAATTTGAATTTCCTAACTAAATGGGAATGATATATAATGACATTTTCTCTGGGTCTGGCCAGCCAGTTCTGACAAATGGAAAGCACACTAAGTGTCATGTTACTAAATGTAACATAAATACTATTTAGATCAATGGCCTAACCTTTAAACTGTCGGTAAGCCATAGAGGCATTGAGATTTATTGTATCAATTCGTAACTTTTCCGGTTGTGGGACACTGTTTAACCCCCCGGGGGGGGACTTCCCTATAAAGCATGGTAGGTATGCTCGACGGGCCTTTTAGGTTCGAAAATAAAACCCTAGCGTACCTTTTAGGTCCTGAGCTGACTCCGTACCTTTTGGCGTCATTTTTTGAACAACGGGAAAAAATTGATAGTTTTAATAAAGAAATAGATTTTATTAACCTCAACAATCTATCGACATTGATTTTCTACAGTTTGTTAAAGTTGAGCTTTTCTCTTGTTAAAGACGTCAAAAATGCTCGTACCTTTAAGGGTCTGGAATCGATAACTGAATTAATTTATGCATACCTTTTAGGGTCATTTTTCAATCCGTCCGTCGAGCATACCCACCATGCTTTATAGGAAGTACCCCCCTCCGGGGTTTAAACTTTGTCCGCAAATTCTATATCACAGTTTGGCTTACCAAAAATAAGGTCTATGTAAACATCGACTGGCTTAAGTTGAAACAAAAACAAAGAACGCACACAGGGTCTAAAAGTTATACACTATACTACAAAACGCGTGTTCTAAAAATACTTTTTTACCCTAAAAKACTCAAGGGTAAAACAAGGACTGACTCCCACGGCGTACTTAATCTATCATTATACAGATGGGAACAACAATAATCAGGCATTAAGGCTATATGTTRAATTTGAGTTTTATAGGCACCTATACGTGGTTGTTATGGTAAGGTATTGTAAGGTATCTATAAAAGTTGACATTGTTTGCAGACTTGTCAATTTTTATGTGATTAGAAATTCCTTCATTGCGCCGATTTTGTTAAAAAAATGACATGTTAATACATTGTTAAGGATTGGTTGTCAACTACACCTCTTTGATATGTTGGCAGAACCTATAGTATCCCTTGCACTCTCAAAGAAGAAATGCGGACTGTTTAGAAAATTACGGAATATTCCGTTATTAGTTTTTTTGCTCGCATGCACAAAAGCGTTTTCATCAAACTTCTTCTTTTTTTTTAATGTTCAAAATTTAKACCAAGTTGAAGAATATTCTTATCTAGGTCTAACTTTCCAATCCACAAATGTTTCTATATTTTAGAGACATTGGGCTAAATATTGCATGTTAACTAATCAACAAGGARTTACTTTTGCAAAGGAGAGTTATATGGTTAAATAAATAATACCTCAATTTAAAACGTAACGTCAAGATGTGATGAATGACACATGTGAACTGTAAGGTACAACAAATGCATCACGAGATTACTCRTAGAAAGACACGGCATTTTACAATTCTTTTAGTAATGTGCTACGAAAATSCAGAGAGTTACAGCATTTTGTTGGACTTACGCAGCATAGTTTGTGCTACGCAAGCGTTGAAAACTTGACACGAACAAATTTATTGACAACAAAATTTAGTAACAACAAAATTAGCGATTGTTAGTGTATTGTAGAAGTTAACTTTTCAAGTTCTTACCGTTAGAATTGCTATAAACAGCATAATACGTAAGCTATAGCGTAGCGTCCTCATTCCAACAAATAGCTCGGAACTCTGATATGAAAGAAGTTAAGGGATTACTTCAGAGAGGTCGAGTTGAAGTCCCTTCTCGTCAACCTTGCTACGTTGGAAAACGTGAGCACAAAAGGGTGGCGATGTCAATTTCACTCTGGGGTAAGAGATTATTGAAAAGTATTATCTTGTGATCCAGGGAGTCGTCTGTTTGTCCTTAAGTCAAGAATAGATGACCTTATATTTCAATGAGTTTCTGCGTTTTGTTTTCTTCATGTGTCATCAGATCAGATTATGCAATAATACGAGCACCAATCACCTACAACACTTATAGTTAATAAACAGCAAGAGGTCGAATACGCGGTCTTAACGATTTCTGAAGAAATGTATGGAATTCTTTATGATAAAAATATAAAATTCTATACAGCTATTTCAGAAAATGTTGAATATTTAATATTGTATACCGCATAGTGCATTCCAACACCGCAATGCATTCCTACAACGAGAACCACTACGTGGATCTTACCGTGCCCAGTTTAAGACGACATGGCTGTAATACAGTCAGCACCGTAGCAGTTATCGATATGTGCAATAATATTTTGCGAAAAAAATTTTTCGAATTTTTTGGTGCTTAAGTTTACAATACTGTTGGACGTATAGCAATTGAATATTTGAAGGTCCTTAAATTCTCTTCTTCCCTTATACTTGCTATACGGGTATGTGCCGCTTCGATAGGGTCCCTTTTTTGGAGCTCCAAGTCTGGGATAGGGTATCATTTTTTGCCCATTTGTCTAGGATAGGGTATACTTTTTGTCTGGGATAGGGTGGTATTTTGTCTGGGATAGGGTATAGTATCACTAGGGAAGGGGGGAGGTTTGCCTGTGACAAGAGAAAATGAGGTAAGAGAAGGAATCCCTGGTWCTGCGTTCTTAACCCATCATATCAGCCCTTCGTTCTATTTTTAGAAAAAGAACTATTTTTAGAAATGGAACATGATTGGTCAGATCGTATGAGGCGAGGTCGATCAGCCGTTTGTGGTAAGACACGAGAAAATAATTGAACCTTAGCTTTAAGAGAGTGCAGTATTTGACGAGTATCTTGGGATGAATTCTTGCTGTTTGCTTTTTCCCTCAATCGATCAAGGACAACATCCTTTCGTGTTGAATCTACAAATGTAAATTATGCGTTTTATAAATTATCTATTATATATCATATATATACCATATCCATATATACCATATATACCATATACAGCCTTTTGCAAAAATTATGAGAATTGTTGAAATATCTAAATATCATAATATCAAGTGCATGATCCCGCGCGATGCCCTTAGTCCCTTGTCTTTGTTGTTTAATTTTTTTTGGCGACAGACTTATCCGTAGTTCTGAACATTTTCTCGATGTCAACAATGAATTATTCTAGCAAATCCGCGTGTTCCGGACAATATGTGGATATGGATATTATGATATTTAGATATTTAGACAATTCTCATAATTTGTGCAAAAGGCTGTATACCATATCATATATATATACCTTCCGTGGAGATAGCTGTTAAGTAGCTTGATCGCATTTTCGTCGAAACCATACGCTTTCAGTTTGCTCAATAACAGAGGTGGGTGAAGTGAATCGAATGCTTTTGACATGTCAGTTGATAAAATATCAATGACATTCTTGTCATCTTTAGCTTTCTTCCAGGCTTCTATAAGATTGATTAAAGTAGTTTCGCAACTGTAATATTTTCTGTAAGCGTTTGAGTTCTTGTACATGTTTGGAGCAAAACTTTTTGTGATTTGTTTACCAATCAGCTTTTCAAGCATTTTGTTTATACAAGGAAGAGTAGTTATCGGTCGGTAATTCTCTATTAAAAGTTTATCATCTTTCTTGTGTACTGGAGTCCAGTCTCCCTTTTTCCACACACTTGGCCAGATGCCTTTTTTGATACATGAGTTAAAAAGTGTGGTAAGAGGTTCCGACAGCTCTTCAGCGCCAAGCTTTAGGATTTTAGCAGAGATGTTATCGCTACCGGTAGATTTCCTAGTGTTGAGAGATTCAAGTTCATCAAATACTTGTTTTTGAGTAACAGCCATGATCGAAATGGGCTGTTTTACATCACGTTGTTTCTCCCTGATTTGTTTGACACTGATATGGTTATAAAAATCATCAATTTCTTTCAGCTTAGCTGCATCACCCCCAATGTCATTGTCAAAGTTCTTATAACTTCTGAAGTTGACAATTTTGGGTTTATTCAAGTTCACTTTGTGATTCAATATCCCGTAAATTAAAGCATGATCACTCAAGCACGGTTGGTAGGTGCCAGCATGAGAGAATAGTTCAGGCCTGTTGCAAAGCAAAACATCAATCARTGATTCAGTATTGATTGTTCCAGTGTTAACTATTCTTGTCGGTTCAGTAATCAAGCAATCAAAACCTTGTTCGTCCTCCAAATCGCGCAATAATTTCCATTCAGGCTTGTTAGGCTTGAGACGGTCCAGGTTCARATCTCCTAATACAACGACAGAATTACTTTGGAGACTCGCCCAGTTGCAGATGTCACTGAGTTCGCTTTCAAGAAGTAATTTGTAATYACCAACCAGTAGTCTCGGGGGACGGTAGATTCCAACAATTACCATATTTCCGTACTCTGTTTTGATTTCAAAGGCTAGTGGTTCCAATGTTTTGTAACTCTTTAACTTCAATCTTTTTTTAGTAATAGATGTAGAAACCAGTGCGAATATTCCTCCTCCACCCTTTTTTCTGTCGTTGCRGTGAAGAGTGTAGTTAGATAACGAAAATTGTGCGTCAGGATAGCTTGCGTCGATCTTGGTTTCTGTAATAAACATTACATGAATGCGCATTCTTCTAATAAGTCCACTAAGTTCTTCAAATTTGTTTTGGACACTGTTAATGTTCAGGTGCGCTATCATAAGGTCTTTCCCTGCAGACTTTCTTGTCTGTTCGAGGTCGGAAGACGAAACCCCTTGCATGAGTTGCGGTGTCTGTTCGGCTATCAAAACCTTTCCTGGTACAAATTGAGGTGTACTTTGAGTAACATCTTCAAAGAAGGACTCGGAGAAATTAAAAACCCCTTGTATAGATTCGTCACACTCGGAGCACATCCAGTCACTTATAAAGCCAGAGCRAATCTTTTTGTAGATAGTAAGAGACAATCCRCAGCATTTGAAGTGGAACTGGTATTTGCATGCTCGGCATGTCACCCTTCGATGATTACGAGCAATAGTTCTTGTACAGATCGAACATCTTGTCTTAGTTTCGGGACCTGGATGAGGATGTATATCACCACTACAAGTAATCTCTAGTAATTCGGGGTTAAAAGTGGCAGAACAGTTTGCATAAAATGTAACTCTACGACCKAGAAACAGCTTTCTGGTTAAAGTTGTATATCTCACACGGTGACCACAAGAGGTAGCAACGTCGATATAACTATCATTTAGAGATGCTTGAGACCGTAATAAATCAGTAGTATATGAAGAAGTTCCATCACAATGTACAAGGGATCCAAATTTCAAAGCAAAAGATAGAAAA